GGAGAACACAAGCTCATTAGGAATGTGATTATCTACAACTTTTATCTGAAAACTTTTTGTCTAAAATAGCTTATAATGGAATTAGGAACAATTTTTAAAATAGCCGAAATTTGTTTTTTTCGAAATATCTAGTAAGCCATGAACTTTTTCAAAAATTTGAAAGGCGCATATTTATAACCCCACAAAACTGCAATTCTTTCCCCATTTAACCGACTCTCTATCTCCAGTAGTTTCCGAGATGCCCATAGAGAACATCGTAGGAAACTCACCCTGTATAGTAAGTGTTAATTTTTGACAAATTTTATGTCAATTTATAGTAAATGGCGTCTAAAGAGACGTCGTCAATATTATAATTGACGATGATTGAGTCAATTGCTGTCATTCTCCAGCTATCTTTGACGCCGATTTTATTCGATCACACGGTATAACCTTTGTCGCCTATATAGTTAAACAAAAAATATTAACATTTATATATCTTCTCCTGTCATCTATACCTATATTATTACTAATTATTTTAATGAGAGTTAATTATACAATTTTTCTTGTGACTTCCATTACCTTAATGGTATTATTGGTCCTGTGCATATACAGGATGGCGCACCTCATTCGCCTCGGTTGATTATACGTAAACGGAAAGATGTAGAAACAAAATATTTTATAGGTACCTATATGTGGGAAGACAATGTGCATAATTTAAAAATATTTTGAAATGTACAGGGTGTGTCAGAACTAAGATCCAAACTAAAGTTATATATTTTCTTATGGAACACACCCGATATTTTATTTCATTTTTGGATTCTTAAACGTAAAATAAGGCATTTATTATAAGAGTTTAATATCTTTAAAAGCTTTGGTTTTTGAGATACTTAAAGATAGTGTTACGTTTTTGTCGGTTCCGTGTGGATAGAAAGTCACAATTTATTTAAACACTATTTATTTAACACTAATTAACAAAAACAATAACGATAAAAGACTTATAGAACTATTTACAAACGATTTATAGCTAAAAATTTATTTTGAATTTTAGCGCGTCAACTGCACTCGTCTATTTATAACTGCCCTCTGTAGGCCACAGCCGCCGGCTTTTATACCGACAGCTAAAGGTCTCTAGAATAGTCCATATATCGTTAGGTGCATAGAGAAAGTTTCGATTGTTCTCGTATGTACTACTCCATTCCAGTAGAACTCGATGCTTCTCGAATCTTCGAATGAATCATTACGGTGTCTATTCTTTAATGCGATGTTAAGGTCATCCGAGGGCGGGCCATATAGTTAGGTTAGGTCGAGTCCACACCGGTCCGCAACAATAGCATGCATATTTAAAATATGCATGCTATAAAAAAAAAGTTTGTCAACACCTTGTACATTACTTTTCAGAATTAATTCTTGTGCTGACTTTCAGACCAGAAAAATAAACTTTACTAAAAAAAATGTTTCTTAAAAAAAAATGCTTCCTTAAATGTATAAAGGGGTATCAAAGATTGCTGGTCTATTTTAAATATTTATTTTACATAAAAACTTCGTTATCTCAAATGCAACACTATATATATATATATATATATATATATATATATATATATATATATATATATATATATATATATATATATATATATATATATATATATATATATATTTTAAATTAGTCGAAGCAGATTTAAATGCTTTTTCAAACTATATTAAGGTTTCATCTGGCTCAGATTTTGCATAAAAAGCGATTTTTCAATAAATTTTTTATCAATATGGTTGGTGTCGCCATGGCAATTTTGTAGTGACACTAGTTGCTATTTCCAAAATCGACATTAATTTACGGACTTTATTTAAATTTATAACAGTTATTTTTATTTAATTTACCTACAACAAGGTTAAAAAGTAAGTATTTATTATTTTATCAAAAAAGTGAATTTTCTTCACAAGCGTTCCTTTGAAAAACTACTTTTCCTATTTCGCAGACCTGAGAGTGTGGTATATGAAAAACCTATTATGCAGAAACCTGTCATTGGAAGTGAAGAAAATGAATTTGCCTTAATTGGGTCTTTTATAGAAAATCTAATATATCTGCAAGTCATTGTAATATATAATCAAAGAACCACTTCTTTTTAAGTACTTTCTTGATAAAAAAATAAATACTTACTTATTAAGCTATTGTAGGTAAATTAAATAAAAGTAAAGTGTTATAAATTTAAATAAAATCTATAAACTAATGTCGATTTTCAAAATAGCTACTAACTGTCACTAGCAAATTGTCATGGCGACACCAGCCATCTTGATATATAGTATAAATATAATAGACCAACAATTTTTGATACCCCTGTATACATTTAAGGTTGCGATTTAATATAATAATTTTTTTTAGTAAAGTTTATTTCTCTGGCTTCAAAATTAGCACAAGAATTAAGTCAGAAACACAAAATTTAATTAGCACAAGTTAAGTAAGAAAAGCAATGTACAGGGTGTTGCCAATCTTGTTTATTAAGCATGCATATATTTAAATATCTTTAAATATCTCAAAAACCAAAGTATCTAAAAATATTAAACCCTTATAATAAATGCCTTATTTTATCCCAAGAATCTAAAATTGAAATAAAATACCGAGTGTTCCATAAGAAAAAATATAACGTTGGTATGAATCTTAGTATCTGACACACCCTGAATCTTAGTTCTGACACCATGAATCTTAGTTCTGACACACCCTGTACATTTGAAAATAATTTTAAATTATGCACATTGCCTCTCTACATATACCCATAAAAAATCTTGTTTCTACATCTTTCCGTTTTCGTATAATCAAACGAGGCGAATGAGGTGTGCCACCCTGTATATGTTTCAAAAACATGTACCATATCTCGAGGGGAGAGTCTTCGCGTAAAATAAGTTTTAGTTTTTATATCACTATAGGTCCGATTCTGCTTTGTTTTGTAGCTAAGTGGTTAAAGTAATTATTTTTCAGGCTTATTATTTTATTAGAAATATATTAATTTCTCGCCGGTGCTTTTAGTGATTCGAATGAAATGAAATTTGTGTCTTTTGAGATATATTATATATTTTGCGATATTTTGATGAGATAAATGCAATTTTATTAATTTGCCTTAATCTAAGTCTAATTAATGTGGGGGCCAAAGTGTTTTTTTTCACAACAAGGGACCGTCCTCTGCCGGAAACACTGCGACCTGTGAGGCCCATTGTGTTTGTCCCCTTTCTATATCTGCACCCATTCTCCTATCCCTGTGCCCTGCACTAACTTATGCACGTCCTTGATAGGATGGGAGCATAGTTCCTCCAGTTCTAGCCTAGCTTTCCCAAATAAAAAGTGTCGCTTGCGATCCAGAGCCTCGCAGTGACATATTATGTGCACCGCTGTTTCAGGATCTTTATCGCAGAGTCTGCAGCAAAGATTTCCTTGATACAGGTTGAGCTTGTTCAGGTAACACTTGACATCCATGTGTCCTGTCAAGAGGCCTGTTGTAATCCGCAATTTATTCCTGCTAAGCATTATCAGTTCTTTTGCGGTTTTAGAGCTAGGTCCTTGGATAAAAGCCTTGCTGTGCCTGTGCCCCTGTCTGTTTCACCAGTGGACAATCTGCTTTTCCCTGATCCAGAGTTTTAGTACACTACGGGCCATACATTTGGGTATTCCCAGTACTGGCTCTGGACCAAGATATAGGATGCCGATGATCCTTGCCTAGCTAGCTCATCGGCTTTTTCGTTGCCTTGGATGCCGTTGTGGCCCGGTACCCAGAATAATTTAATTCTGTTCCTTCAAGCCAGAGCACCCAGTTCACCTAGGCATTCCCAGACGAGTCTCGACGATACCTTTGGGCTCATAAGCGCCCCAAGTGCCGCCTCACTGTCTGAGCATATATTGATGAACTTATCTGAATAAGCTCTTGTTGTAAGCTATTGTTTTCTCTCGCACATTGTAGAATGGCAAGGATTTCTGCCTGGAATACGGTTGAGTGTTTACCCAAGGAAAAGGATAAACTTACCCTTGGTCTTTCCCCAAATACTCCGGCTCCTGTTCCTTCAGCGGTCTTTGACCCGTCAGTATACCAGGTTAGTCCATCCTGAAGGAATGTTATATCTGTCCACATTCCTCGATCCATTTTGTTCACCTCGAATGGTTTGTGGTAGTGATAAAGAGGGGTCATTTGGTCCGATCTCATTTGGAGTAGAGCTCCCCCGATAGAATTTCCCATCTTTTCAGTGTCCTGTTTCTGTCCTATTTCCCAGAGACAAGACACGGGCCAAAGTGTTAAATACGGACTCATTGATTCCTCATCAAAAAATATGAAAAAAAGTTTTTAGAATCATGGATTCGAAAATGCATAGTTTTAAAGACACAAGATGTTAAAACTTTAAAAAATAGGTCTTTTGTAATTATCTTAAATACCATTTTATTTTTTTAATTTGCCGTAGGTAGCACTGAACCGAGCACCGAACTGAACTGAATAATAAATTAGATTAAATAAAATAATTTATAAATTTTATTTATAAATCTGATCAATAATGATCTTTTATGATCAATAAAATTGCGTTTATCTCACCAAGAAGATTAAATACGACAAAATATCAAGATGCAACTTTTGATGGGCTTTAAACGGTCTACACAATTTTGCTAACAAGATAAAAAAATCAGTGACGCACATGTTTTTTTTTAATATTCCAGTGAAAGCCCATATTCACGTCCCTGGTAAATCTGTGACACTTTTTTAGCACTTAAAATATGTACACTTTTATCCTAAAAATTTCATCCGAATCGCAAAAAGTTTTTGAAAGAAAATTATAATAAATCGGAAAAAAATTAAATTTAACTCCCTGTTCCCTGTAGCTACAAAACAAAGCAGAATGAGCCTATGTTGATATAAATAATAAATCTTATTTTTTCCTGGGGAATATCCCAATGAGAGATGGGGCATATGTTTTTTTTAAACAACCTGTATATTAAATCTAAAATAATCAATACCATTATATAATATAATGATAAATACTTTCTATTTTAGAACAAGGTATACCGGAACTTCGAATCCCTTCATTCGAACCATTTTCAGTTCCCGAAATTGTTCTGGAGCAAGGAACACAGTCTTTGAATTTCAAAGCCGTTCTGAAAAACGTCGTCATTCATGGAATAACAAATTATCACTTTACTCGTTTTGAGTAAGTATTATTATTTTAATTTAGATTATAAGTAATGTGGATATAGTAGTAAAACATTAATAATAATTGTTCAACGGTTCGTTTAAAATATTTTGAGCGCTTATCCAGCTAAAATTATATAATACACTTTTTATACAGGGTGATTCTTAAATAAGGGCGAATATTTTCAGGGTTGGTAGGTCTCGAAAAAAGAAACCTATTTTCTCTTTACCGTTTTTCAAATAAATCCAAAATAACCGAGTTATTTTGCTTTGAATATTAAAAAAAATATTTTTTTGTTAAAATTTTGAGAACCAACCACTGAATGTTTTGTGAATGTTTTTTCTTGTAAATTTAATTTACTACCTATGCTGCCATATTATTAACAAATTATGTTTTGAGGTGCGCGGTGGCGTAGAGGTACAGGCTCTCGTCTACCAATCTCAAATCCCACACCCGGCATTTCATCAGCCGACTATTTTTATTAAAATAAAAATAGTTTGGGTACCTAGGTCGACTCAGCCTTAAATGAGTATTTGGGATTCACAATTCTGAGGTAATAATAGGCGGCTGAAGCGTAGTGCTAGCCACATTACCTTCCTTGTATACCGAACCTCTCTAGTATAGCAAGCTGTACCTTGCTACTCCCAAGGCGTCAAATGCTATATACGGGAGCTATTATTATATTAGTATGTTTTTTAACTAAAAACTAAAAAAAATCCAAATTTAAGAAAAAATCGGGAAAAAACCTCATATAATCGTGTTTCTGGAGGTAAAATATACTACGCCTAAAAATATTTGTACTTATTTAAGACTCACCCTGTATAAATAATAATAGAAATCAATTACTACCCCAGAAGCAAACTATACCAGGTGCGTCTCAAAAGTGGCTCACCCCTATAACTTTTTTTATTTTTTCACATAAAAAATCACATTTGGAATGTTAGTATGTATATGACACAAATCAGGATTGACTGAAGAATTCAATCATTTTCGGCCACTTCCTCTTTCACCAGAAATGACTGCAACCTTTGCTACTAACTTTTGATTTTTAAATGGTACCCTCGGCATTTTTTTACTTTATTAGATAGAAAATGACACTCTGAATAGAATGACACACCATATGTCAACTTTTAACATTTTCGCTTTAAATAAATCGTATTTTAAATTTCAATATAGAGTGCCATGACCATAGATAAAAGAAAATAATCTTCTATTAAGATAGATATGAAACTTAATACTAAAATTTTGGGTCAAAGCGCCCCTCCGTGTTCTTAGTAGAGACTACGTTTAACCCAGCGCCTTCGCCTTTTCTGCTGTAAATCTTTTTTATGTTTATATTTGATTTCAAAGGATTTAGTTTTAAAGTTACATTGATATATTAGTATATCAGAGTAACTTTAATAAAACATAAGAATATATGTATTTTACAGTTTATTAAATATAAATTTTGACTACAAGGTAGAAAGTAAATCACAATATTTGATAAAACTTATAAGTATACCATTTTTACAGTTAATAAATAATAAAACTATTTCTAACTATGATATTTAAAATTTAGATAGATAGAATATTAAAAAACATACCGGGGGTATTTGCAGACGCAGGCCCAAATTCAATAAGAACCGAAATTTTTCCTGCGAAAATCGGGCTTTTTTCACAGAAAAGGTATTTTTTGATTTATCAACAATCATTGTCAAGTTGACAATATACAGGGTGTTTTCTAATTAGTCTAAAAAAATGTGGTGTGATTCCTCATGTGTTCTTAAAGCAATTTTTATATAACCATTGGGTCTAAAGTACTTTTTTTTCTGATCTACAGGGTGTTAAAAATTTAAAAAAATCGATATTTTGCTTAACATAAATGGTACACTACTGCTTTTTTAAAGAAAATATATTTTTTCTTGACTGGCCATCCTTTTTCAACAAAATTGATCTTTTGAGTTTTTCTTGTTCATCAAACGGTTGCCGAGAAAAAAATAAATATACTTATTAAGAGCCCGCCTTAAGCCGTTTTCTAACGATTTTTTATTTATTAGATTAATTAGGAAACACCCTGTATATGCATATCACAGACAACCAAATAAACTAGTAACCTCTAAAAATGATTTTTCCTACCATTAGCGACATACCGTGTTTTTAGTGAGTACTAAATTATTTTATCAAAATTTCACCATATAAGTTTCCAGGCAATGGCCATGACTGTGTTAAAAATACTAATTTTTAATCAAGAAGCCTTGGAAAAATAGATGTGATCTTCTGATATTTTCAGTGTCTTGTCCTGGCCTATTAAAAGATGCCCAAATCGTATTTTAATCATATCTCAAATTTTTCAAATGGAACGAGGGTGGCTCATTAGCATATTTGGAAAAAGCATTTTTTACGAATAATTTGGTACCACGTACTTGGGGTATTTCAAATCAAATTGTCGTTATGAATCGCATGTTACAATTTTCTATCGAATAAAGTAAAAATATACCAAGGGTGCTATTTAAAAACCAAAAGTTGTAGTCATTTCCGGTGAAACCGGAAGTGGCGAAAAACAATTGAATACGTCAATCAATCCTAATTTAAATCACATTCTAACATACCAAATCTATCGTTTTGTTATCTGAAAAAATAAAAAAAAGTTATAGGGGTGAGCCTTTTTTGCGACGCACCAGGTATTGTCGCAAAACACAGTTTTGGGGAAAACGAATTTGAAGTTCTTTTTTGAAGTAATTTCTTAATAACTCGGTTATTTTTAAACCTATGATGTAATATTTGGTACATGAATAACTTATTTTAAACTGAGTAAGGTAGAACCATAAAAAGTTAAGTACTTATAGAGTATATATCTCAAATATGCCAATTTTGGACTTAAAAAATGCTTACTTCTAGGGTACAGATGCAGACAATTGATTTCTTATTGCGGTTATACAGGATGGTCCGAATTGTATTCGGGAAACTTCGGCAGCATATTCTGTAGATAAAAATAAGTAAAAAAGTTCGTATAAAAATGTATGTTCTAAAATGTTTAGTTTCGGAGATACAGGGTGTAGAACTTCCATTTTTATTTCGATTTTTTCCAAATAATTTATGAACTAGCGTCGCTATTTGGATGAAAATTGGTATTTGGGAGTTTTTTGATATGAGGAATTTGATTTTGATGTTGTTATGACTCCTACTTGTAGAGGGCGCCACCTACATGTTTTTAACTGCTTTGAAGGGTAATCACTTTTTGCCCTTATCTGTAGAAAGCGACTGGAATAATATTCATTCAACATTTTCGATATATTCTATGTATAAAAAGTGTCTTGGTAAAAATCGCTACGAGTAATAGTTCTTGAAATATTTGAAATAGAACTAGATACCTACTTATTAGGTAGACTAAAATAATAAATTTGAAATGGTTTTGTTCCAAAGGTTTAACAGAAACTGTTTGATTTATGATTAACTTAAAAAAATAAAGAATTCCCAAAATTACCATTTGAGTCAAATAACTATCTAATCAACATTTTTATTTTTTGCCAATACTGGCATGTATTGACTATTTCCATTCTAAATATCTTGAGTACGCTTGGTCGTAGCGATTTTTGCCAAGAGACCATTTTTACGTAGAAAATGTACATTTTTTCACTCAGTAGTTTTATACAGGTACGAAAAGTTATTACTCTTCAAAACGGTTTAAAAAATGTTATTTGCGCCACCTACAAGTAGGAGTCCATTTTGCCATCGAACTCAAAATTTTCATGTTAATCTGGGTGTTTACCAAATACCTAACACTTTTTATCCAAATATCTTCTATTGTTCAGATCTACACCCTGTGTCTCTGAAACTAAGGATTTTAAAACCTAAATTTATAGGAAATCTTTTACTTATTTTTTTTTTCTGCTGAGTATGCTGCCAAAGTTCCCCAATACAATTTAGACCACCCTGTATATTAGGAATTAATCACAATTTACATAAATTTAGCTTTGACGTGCCAAATCTACAGTTCTTCTGTGATGCTGATATTGATAATCTGGAGCTAGATGGAGATTATACTGTTCATGGAAAAGTTTTAGTAGCGCCAATCGAAGGCAAAGGAAGATTCACAGTTCACGTAGGCAAGTGTAATTCATTAATATATAAATTTTAATTTTAATTATGTAATCCATGTTGTAGATCATTGCAGTATAAAGCTTATACAAACATATCATGAAGTTGAGAAAGACAATGATATATATCTACTACCTCTAAAATCAAACACCTCCATTACTGTTAGTGGGCCTCGAACAAAACTCGACGGTCTATTTGATGAGAATAGTAACTTAGGTAGGAATATACCAATATGTCCAAATTATTGCATATGAATGTTTGGTAAAATCAAAAGACGTTACAGGAAAATATGTTATTTTATAAAGTTAATTATAACTTAGTGCAGACCACACGAAAAAGCTATTTCTACCGGGTGCATCTCAAAAGTGGCTCATCCCTATAACTTTTTTATTTTTTCAGATAAAAAAACGAGATTTGGTATTTAGTATAGAGACATAAATTGGGATTGATGACGTATTCAATTGTTTTCGATTTCTTCCTGTTTTACCAGAAATTACTACAACTTTTGGTTTTTAAATGACATCTTCGGTATTTCTCTACTTTTACTACTATTTATTACTACGAGCCCTAACAACTATATGTTGGGACAAGGTCTTTTTTTGCAATAAAAATAGTAATTTGTTAAAACGACTCAATTTATTTTGTTTATTATTCTAAATTCAAACATGACAATATGATCTAGACAATTTTACTATATTTTTATAACTTTGCAAACAAATCACTTTAAATAATAGCTTATTTTGCCAAAATCAAGCCAAATTTGCTGACAACTATATATTGGGACAGCACAACAATAAATTTGTTTAATACGGAGTTACATCACCTTTCGCCTTAACAACTGCCTGAACTCTTAATGGTATTGTATTTACCAAAGATTGGCAAATTTGAGGAGAAAAATTATCCCGAATTTCCTGCAGTTTTGACCGCAAATCAAAAATTGTTCGTTGAGGGTGGTTTCTTAAATATTGCTTCATTTTATGCCACACAGTTTCTATAACATTGAGGTCCGGACTATTTGCAGGATGGGATAGAACTTTTATATTATTATTACCGAACCAATTTTTAGTTGATTTTGCTGAATGGCACGATGCTCCATCTTGTTGAAAAATACAGTCTTCGTTTGGAAACAATTCTTGAGCACTAGGCAAAAGTGAGGTCTCAAGTATATGTTGATATTTTTGGGCATTAAGAGTGCCATCTATAAAATTTAATTCAAACCTCTTGCTGACATGCAACCCCAAACCATAATCCCCTTAGGAAATTTAACAACCCTCTTTAAGCAATCTTTATGAAAGGCTTCTGCTTTATTTCGTATTATTCGTTTTCGATGATCTCCAACGCAAACATCAACTTTAGACTCATCGCTATATATGACCTTATTCCAATCATTTTGTGTCCACGATAATTTAGATTTTGCCCAATTGTAGCGATTTTTCTTCTGAATTTCTGTCAGTAGCGGTTTTTCTTTGGCCTAAATAAGAATTTGTATCAATAATCTTCAGGTAATTGATTATCCACACAAAATAAAGTTTACCTTGTAAAACCCCCAGACCACATTTATGGATATATTTTCGGCAACATTCTCTTGATATATTTAAACCAGTTACAGTATTCCATTTAACTGTTACTTCGCGAAGAGTACTTCTTCTCGCAGACTTGCGCAAATTTTTACTAAATTTCGTAAATCTCTCTGAGATACAACTTTTGGCATTCCCGAACTTTTACCTCTAACGTCTACATTGGCAGATTGCCGTATTTTTTTTATTATATTAAAGACCGTGGTTTTTGGAATACTTAAATCATCAGAAATTTTTCGAATTGTTTTTCCCATACTGTATTGACGAATGATAATTTCTCGAAGTTTTTGATTTGTAGCTTTTCCACGGACCATTACTTTGAATTAAATTAACAAAATTGAAAATTAAAAAGATTAAAATTACTTACAGTAAATCTCACTACTCAAAGTATCGAGTCACTTACAAGCTATCAATGCTGAAGTAAACAGTTTGCGACATTTGTGACGTTTATAGCAAAGCCGCCTATGATGATTATTAATTATTTAAAAATACTTGTCCCAACATTTAGTTGTCAGCAAATTTATCCTTTTATGAACAAAATCCGCTACTGCAAATATGGATTGATTTACAAATTCATAAAAATATTGTCAAGTTGTTTAGGATATATGGCTATGTTTATATTTAAAAAATTAAACATATATTTTTCAGTTATTTTGAAAAACCAGGGCAATAATTCCAAAATATGACCTTGTCCCAACATATAGTTGTTAGGGCTCGTATAATCGATAGAAAATGACACTCTGAATAGAATGACATATCATATGTCAACTTTTGACAATTTCGGATATTGACAATTTCGGCTTATTTTAAATAGGAACATGCGTTTCATAACGATAATTGAAATATTTTTGAAATTGATTTGAAATACCAAGTGTGTGGTACCAAATTATTTAAAAAACGATTAATTCGTATAAAAATCGCTTAAAACAAAATTGTATTTTAAAATTCAATCTAGAGTGTCTATGTTAAAAACACTAATTTGTAATCAAGGAGCCTTGGAAAAATAGATTTGATCGTCTAATGTTTTAGTGCTTTTTCCTGGCCGATTAAAAGATGCCCAAATCGTATTTTTAATCATATCTCAACTTTTTCAAATGGAACGAGGGTGACTCACTAACATATTTAAAAAAATCATTTTTTTACGAATAATTTGGTACCACTTACTTAGTATTTCAAGTCAAATTGTCGTTATGAATCGCATGTTGCAATTTTAAATAAACCATATTCAAAATGTTAAAAGTGTCATTTTCATTTTCCATCGAATAAAGTAACAAAATACCGAAGGTGTCATTTAAAAATCAAAAGTTGTAGCCATTTTCGGTGAAACAGTAAGTGCTCGAAAACAATTATTGGATACGTCAATCAGTCTTAATTTATGTCGAATATTAACATACCAAAATCTCGATTTTTTATCTAAAAAAAATAAAAAAGTTAGGCACTTTTGAGACGCATCCGGTATAGTCGGTACATACTTCTATTACAAATGAATTTAATAAATAACAGAACACCCTCGGTATTTTTTTACTTTATTAGATAGAAAATGACACTCTGAATAGAGTTGCTATGTTAAAAATACTAATTTTTAATCAAGAAGCCTTGGAAAAAATAGATTTGATCGTGTGATGTTTTCAGTGTCTTGTCCTGGAGTCCTGGCCGGTTAAAAGACGCCAAAATCGTGTTTTTAATCATATCTCAATTTTTTCAAATGTAACGAACATATTGGCTCATTAGCATATTTGGAAAAAGCATTTTTTAACGAATAATTTAGTACCACACACTTGGTATTTCAAACCGAATTGTTGTTATGAACCGCCATGTGTTACAATTTAAAATACTTAAACCGTATCCGAAAATGTCAACAGTTGACATAAATATGATATGTCATTCTATTCAGAGTGTCATTTTCTATCGAATAAAGTAAAAGAATAGTCAAAACTACTAAGTAACAAAACACAGTTTTGGGTAAAACGATGATATTTTGGTATTTTGTACTTTATATGTACTTACCTCGGTATTTTGTTACTTTATTCGATAGAAAATGAAAATGACACTTTTAACATTTTTGAATATGGTTTATTTGAAATTGCAACATGCGATTCATAACGACAATTTGACTCGAAATACTAAGTAAGTGGTACCAAATTATTCGTAAGAAAATGCTTTTTTTAAATATGTATAATACCATACTCAAAAATGCTAAAACTGTCATTTTCATTTTCTATCGAATAAAGAATAAAGTAACAAAATACCGAGGGTGTAATTTAAAAATCAAAAGTTTTAGCCATACTCGGTGAAACAGGAAGTGATCGAAAACAATTATCAATCTTAATTTATGTCGTATACTAACATACCAAAATCTCGATTTTTTTATCTGAAAAAAATAAAAAAGATAGGCACTAATTTTTTTAATACCTCCTGAATATAAACTCGTCCTGTCATTGTTTCGTCGATAACAACTAATTGTGTTCGAGCACCTCTCGTTATCCCAGCCCAAAACATTACACTACTCCCTTGAAATGGGATGCGGGTCTGAGCTGTAACTAATCTGGAAATTGTCGTCCTGGAGCTCTCCAGACATGGATTCATCGAGAATCCGCTACTAGGCTTATTGGTGTTTCATCTGAAAATGAAAACATGGCATTTCCATGAGTTTTGATTTTGTTCAATCATTTCGTGTGCTCATTATAACGGTGTACGTTTTTGCTGTTAATTTTGAAACTGTTAATTTTGAAACTCGCAAAGGTCTCTGACGATGTAGATTAAAGCTTCATTTAGAACCTCCGAATTAGTGGAATAAATTAGTGGTTTCAATTACACTTTATACTTTTTAGTTTACGTTTGGTTTATGATCATTCACAATGTTTAAAAAACACAATTCAAAATAATAGAATATCCTAGCAACAGTTTGCGTTTGTCAGTTGTATCCATAGAGAAAACTTAATATTTAGCTTATAAAACAATCAACTTTTGATTTCTAACCACAATTTCTCTTGACAGATGATAATTAAAGGCCAAAATGACAACTCTCGCAAATTTTGAAGTATAATTAGTAGAAAAATTAAAAGTTTGATAACTCTTTTTTACTAATTGAAAATGTCTACCACTAATTTTGACGTTCTGAATGCTTACATTAAAATTAAAGGAACACACTTCTACGCTAATTGAAACCACTAATTTAATCCACTAATTGCGAGGTTCTGATACGGTTTGTCTTGATACAATAAAATAATAATATCTTGCTACTCCTTCAAGTCTAAAGCCCTCATTGTACTTAATGGGTCCCTTCTAGCAATTATTGACATCTGACGATCTTGTGCTGCAGTAGTAAGCTTTTTCCGACCTCTTCATAATCGGTCCTTAACATCATTGGTTTCGCGAAACTTTTCATTAATTTCTGAAACATCACTTTGATTAACGCCTACAATTTCTGTCAATTCATTTTGTGATAGACCTTGTTGTAACAAAGTTACTATCGGCTTTTGTTAAAGAAGTAGGAAATAACATTTCGTCGCATTTTTATATGATGATAGCATCATCAGAATGCAGAAGAGCACGACAGAGATTTATAAATTCTAATAAAATATAATTAAACATTTCTTAACTTACTTTATATTTTCTTAAAGTTTGTGCAAAACATGGGAATAATACCTACATACTGAATATTTAATTCTAAAAATACAATGATGATCTATTTATCAATATGCAATAATGTTGGACATTTGAGTATTTTTAGATAAAGTTATCAATTACTAACAAGATTAATTTTAACAGGTGAGGTAACGAATAAAGCTATAAATGACAATATCGACGAATTATTCTCCGAGCTGAAACCAGTCATCGAACAAACCATAAGCAAGATTATGGAAGATGTGCTATTGAAATCGCTCATGGGAAGGGTTCCATATAATAAATTATATCCATTTAAATAAAGGTTTCACTAGACTTATGAAGAATATGTAATTTAAATAATTCAATAAATTATATTTTGTGAGTAAATACTGGTAATAATAATTGCCTAAAGTTTATCAATTTTAACCCTCGAGCAGGCCCATTTATATTTTTTAAATATTCTGTAATCTGAAGACCAAACCCCAGCCGTGGAAGGGTGTAACCCTCGTAGGGAGTAGATGTCCTCGGAGTAAGTTAGTAAGTAGTACATTCCTCGGAGGAAGAACATCTGTTGTCGGAGGGGGATGGGAAATTCCGTTTATGATAGACTGTACGACGAGTCATAACTCAAGAAAGGGGGACACAATAGATCTTTAAGCCTCTCGGTGATATACTACCCTCTTACGCATTCTACATTCTACATTCATAGTGAGTGTCAATTTTCGAAACCTGACAAAATTTATGAGGAAAATTTAAAGGCTTTCTTACTTTCTAAAAATTCAGAAAAATTATTTATACCACCATAACACACCATTAACTGATTGTAAGTATTAAAGTACGTAATAACTCGTTATATTATGTTAATAAATTAATAACTTTTTCGTATTCGGTATTTGACCGCATTGTACGCAGTATTTGGACGAATACCAAATCGTAGCCGAATATTCGTGGCATCTCTAGTAATTACTATAAAATGTAAAGATATTATTTCGATCAAACAGAAAAAGGGTAATAAAAGACTGAGGGTAAAAAAATATACATTGTTTCTAAAAATAAATATAACTCTATATAAAACATAGGTGACTCAAGCAGGAGCCCACTCTGAAACCTTTAAGTTTGCCAATATTTGGTCAGCTACGACCCTAAATAATTCGTTGGTGGTTTCGATAAATATTGGATGTATTGCGTCCATAACTCTTCGAGGATTCTCATTGAAGAAGTTGGTAATGATGTCAGCTAAAAATAAAAAATATATATTATACAGGATGTATCATGGTACCCCCCCCCCCCCAAATAATCTTAGATTGGTTATACTATTTTGAGAGAGAGAGAAATTGGTGTTATTAATTTCTTTTGTGACAATTTTATTTTACTACATTTCATATTATTTAAATCTACTTCCTGGGAAGGGTAATTACCTCCATTCCCCTCCCGTATATGCGCCCCTGATATATGAATGACAGAATGACTATCTAATCTATTGTTAGATATAATATTATATGAAAATGACCAAGATTCTTATTTCTCGAAGAGAAATTATTCCAATTCTTTCTGGACAAATTTAAGTAATTACTTCACTATCGGACATTGAATATAAAATTATTAATAATAGACAAATTCTGTTTACCTCCAAGTTGTAAATCAGGATTTTTGGCATTTAATTTTATCCAACCATCACCTACAACTACTTTGGCATTTACTTTCTTCACTTTAAAATATTGTTCTCCTTTTTTCTCATACGTCTCCAAGGATCCCTTAATATACATTTGGGTATTTGCTAAAATTGTAGAAGATAATCACATTATGAGTTTACCACAACAAATAAAAAATAGTATAACAATAAATAGAGAGATAGAAATAAATCTTACTAAAATTTCCTTTGAAGAAGCCTCGGCTTTGAAGAGGAATTGATAATAATCTTCCACTGACATCATATTCCATCTCAAGGTAAGACCATGGTAAAGTTAACCTTATTTCTCCTGCATGATTTATCGGATCGGCTCTATAAAAAGATAAATTATATTTAGGATTATCCCAATTATACAAGGTATAAATAAATAATAAGTAGGAAAAACATCGGGAAGTGATTGTTTCTTGAAAAATAAGGTTTTCCCTGTTTTCTATCTAAACGTCAAATCACGTATATCTCAAATATTACTATAATTCCGTTTTTTCTACGATTTTTCTTCTATATGTGATGTGTTTCGATTTAGGTAACCAATAGTTAGTGTTAGTAGTTGCGATGTTGTTGCGGGTTGCGATTTTGTTGCGATTTGCGATTTTGCTGCGATTGTGATTTTGGAAACTAGGACCGTGATAACCTTCTATCTGCTAGTTTGAATTTTTAGGAGTTGCGATTTGCGATTTTGTTCCGAATGTAATTTTGTGGTCAATTGAAGCATTTTATAGTAAACCGTAATTGAATGTTTTCATTGATTTTATTTATTTATAGAAAAGGTATTATTTTCTAGGGCTAAGATCATCAATCATATATCGGGTGTTTCTCAAAAGTGGTACTTTTTTAGACATAAATTAGGATTAATTGACGTATTCAATTCGTTCCTATCACTTCCTGTTTTACCGCAAATGACTACAACTTTTCACTTTTAAATGGCACCCTCGGTATTGTTTTACTTTATTCGATAGAAAGTAACACCCTGAATAGAATGGCATATCATATGTCAACTTTTGACATTTACGTTTAAAAAAAATAATATTTTAAATTTCAATCTAGAGTACCATGGCATTTTTATATTTAAATTTAGTAATATGAGTATTTTCAATGAGAGAAACGTGGGTAATTTTTACAGTAATAACTGCATCACTATTTTTTTACCTTAAATTAAAAGTACATTATAGAAAATATTAAGGGTGCGAAAGTTAAAAAAGTTATGATATGAAATTCTCAATGAATATTATCTCTATAGATAATATAAACCTAATAAAATAATCCCTGTAATATAAAATAATTGCAAAAAAACTCAAAATTTAAGTGAGGATGCAGTCATTAATCACCACACAGGCCAAAAAAACTACTTTTTCAAATTTGTCATGCTTTCGAGAATTTTATTCCCATCATCAGAACAGTTTGACTGAGTCAATTAGCAAAAACAACATCCTCTGCACAAAAAGGCCTTAAAACTAGCATCATATGACATTGGAATACAAGGACATTTCCTTTATAAAATATTAAAATACATATCAAACGACATTATTTTTTTAAAACCAAAAACAATTTTTTTAAAATTTACTAAGACTAATTTCTACATTGTTGTTTCGAGCTTGATCAAACAGTGACTCAAGTGAGTTAGGTTAGGTTAGGTTGTTACAAACAGTGACTCAAGTTGAGTCACTGTTTGATCGAGCTTTAAACAACAATGTAGAAATTAGTCTTAGTAAATTTTAAAAAAATTGTTTTTTGTTTTAAAAAAAGTAATGTCGTTGGATATGTATTTTAATATTTTATAAAGGAAATGTCCTTGTATTCCAATGCCATATGATGCTAGTTTTAAGGCCTTTTTGTGCAGAGGATGTTGATTTTGCGAATTGACTCAGTCAAACTGACCTGATGATGGGAATAAAATTATCGAAAGCTTGACAAATTTGAAAAAGTAGTTTTATTGGCCCGTGTGCTGATTATTGACTGCATCCTCAAATTTTAAGTTTTTTAACTTAGTCAGTTACGACTAAACCTGTTATTTTTTAAAATAATTTTTCTAGTATTTCCCAAGGAAATATTAGAGGGATTATTTTATAGAAAATATCTATTTGGTATTAAGTAGTCAAGTAAGTACTCTACATAAATGTCACAAATTTTAACAGGAAATGATAATTCATAACAACGTTTGGTGTTTAACTCACTTAAGATCATCAATTACTGTATTTCTGCCCCCTTCAACAACAATGTTTCTACAAATAGCAGAAATACTGACAAATTCGTTCAAGGTTCTGTTTACAACCATCAACGGTAACTTGAAAGGATCCATGGGAGGAAAGCTCAACTCTGGTATACCTTTCATAAGATATGGCCGTGATTTTTGGAAACTGTTGTAAACACATTTCTCATAATGCGGATCAGATGCTTTACATATTAATGGCTGGATGTAATCGGCTGAAAAATAAACAGAAAATCTTCAAAAATGAGGAAATATGTTAATATTTCAAATAATTATATAATGTTATTTTTTTATTTGTAATTGTTTTATTACGTTAGTTGTGATTTCGCTGTAAATGTAATTTTGCGATCTAATAATAGTGAATCGGCAGTCAGAGCCCCGTCACTTTTATGAAGAAGTCAAATGAAATTCACGATTACTAGTTTGGCCTTGGATGATACCAGTTGAGTGGTCCGTTGTCAAATATGTCGAATTAAAAGTTTGAATGTCTAGAATTATTAAAAAAACGAATTTTCAAATTTTTTCCATTAATAATTAAAAGATAATTAAAAGACATATTCTGCCAGCCATCTGGTGAAGTGAAGGTCTCTGAGAGCTACAATTTAAAATTATTTTTTTAAATAAGATACAGAGCGTCCCAAAAACACACTGTATATTATTACGTTACTTACTACGTTTAAACAAAATTTAAAGGTATATTTAATAAAATTTGACTCATTTAAATCTTACCATTTTTGGTATATTTTCAATTTGTAAAAATGCAGTAACACTTATTACTTGTGTCTGCAATTTTAACTCACAGGTAAATTGTTTTTTCGGTAATTTTTTTGAATGTCGCCGGTCGAAATCTTCCCTGAGTTGTATTATTATTGGAAAATTTTGAAACAATATTTTTGTATACTTAGTTAAAAACCAATTTTTTTACGATAATATAATTAGGTCAAAAATAAAGTGTAGAGAGAAGGTTTAATATTTTTACTTTCAAATAATGATGTTTCTGTTTTAGGTGAAACGATTTTAAAAATCTCGGTGTTTAAAAAAGTTTTTTTGATGATGTAATATGTTTATAAACGTTTCCTGTTCAATTGTTTTAAGAGTCTGTTAAGAGTGACATTCGTGTAAAACCTTGATTAATATGAAAACTATTTATATTCTAAATATTTCCAGCAGTAAATAAAGGTCTTATAGATATTTTTAATACACATATTTTATTATTTTTATTAATTTCCAAGTTCAACGGGTCGATTTTAAATTGTATCAATTAAATACGCTTTACAATACGCTTGTTTTTCTAAAAAACTACAAGGATATCAAGCAGTGAAGTCGAAAATTTAATATTTGGCATTCATACCAGATAATTTCACATTGACCCCAATGTTTCGTTATATAAATCAGATATAAATAAATAAATCAAATATAGAAAATCTAGGAACTAGTGGGGTTGCAGTCGGAAGGGTTTGAAATAGAATTAATACACTTTGTTAATTGTCAAGCTTTCGGAATTTATTCATTCCTTCCTCAGGACATCAATGTGGGACAAGAGACCTTCATAAAAAACTACATTAACAAAAAATTGGGATAGCCAATTTAAAAAAAAATTCTCCAGAGGGTATTAAGATATTCTTTGGTAATGTGTCTGGCAGGATAAACATTATGGAAACCATTGGCCTTATTTTCGCAGTCCTAAAAATTTGTCAGATGCTAGTTTATATTATAATAATTGCAGCTGCAAATATAGTCTGGCTAATATGGAACATTCCGAAGCGGGGCTTTCGTGATTGTAAATGAGAGCCAGACGCGTATTTGCAATATTGATGCGATGAAACATGGTTTATTGTGAATAGAATAATTTGAGGAACAAAGGTTCTTGGTCTAGCAATATCTCTATCTCCACCTGAGAACCTTAACGATTACTTTGTAAATGTAGCGAAACATTTAACTAATCCCATATGTCCTTCTCATGATCCACTTTCATATTTTTCTAATGATAATGTAAACTTACACGGTTTCCTGTGTAGTTTTAGAAGAGCTTTGCAGTACAATTAATACCATCAAAAATAAATCCTCATCTGGGACCGACGGACGGGCTAACTTTAAAAATGTTTTCGAATCTGCCAGAAAGCACTCTGAATCACCTACTAACTAAACTACTTTAATAAACATGTCATTCCAAAATGGTATTTTTCCAAAATGTCTTAAGACGGCAATAATCATTCCTCTGCATAAAGGAGGAGACAAAGATGAAGCTCCTATAACTATCGCCCAATTGCACTCCTTCCAACGCTATCTTAGATCATAGAAAGGTTGGTTAAAAAAAGGCTGGTATCTTTTCTGTTTAGTAAGTACAAAATACTTACTGAACATCAATTTGGATTTCTAAGTAACAAGTCCACAAATGACGCTATGTTTTCCCTCCTTAATAAAGTTTACTCCAGCCTAAATAACCATCATTCTACAGCAACAATTTTCTGTGATTTTTCTAAGGCGTTCGACTGTGTAAATCATAAGATCCTAATTAATAAACTGCAGCACTATGGGTTCAGGGGAACATTTCTCGAATGGTTTAATTCGTATCTGTGCAACAGAAGTCAACTTGTGAGGGTGGATACCACGTTGTCTTCTAGCAAGCCAATAGAATGTGGAGTACAACAAGGCTCAGTACTAGGCCCTATTTTGTTTCTTCTTTTTATTAACGACATTGCTAACATAAACATCAGTGGTAAAATATGTATTTTTGCGGACGACACTAGCTTCACTTGGAGCAACAAGGACGTTCATAAGATTATATCAAATGACTTAATCACCATTAAATCTTGGTGCGATTCGAACCTCCTGAGTCTCAACATTTCTAAAACTAAAGCTTTGTCGTATAAAAACCCGCTGCAGCCCTTTTGTACACCACCATTGACGTCGTAAAGTCTGTAAAATTCTTAGGACTTGTTGTAGACAATTCTCTGAAATGGAACATGAATATCGATGCTTTGTCGAAAAAATTAAACTCTCCCTGTTTTGCATTAAGATCTGTTTCTAAGGAGCTTAACTTGTCAGTGGCTAGAACTGTTTATTATGCACTTTTTGAGTCGCACCTCAGGTATGCCTTTCCATTCTGGGGTACGTGTTGTGCTACTCAATTTGACCGCATTTTCAAGCTCCAGGAGAGAGCTGTTCGATATTCACTGGGACTAAACAGCAGAACTCATTGCCAGGCATTTTTTAAAAAATTAAAAATATTAACTCTTCCTTCCTTATTTATATTTGAATCCGATTGCCTAATCCGTAAGCATGTATCAGCTTCTCAAGAAAGGCCATCTCACACTTATCCACTCAGGAACGCGGAGCAAGATTTTTATCTACTTACACCACGCTCAGAGTTAGTTAAAAGTTCAATATTATACAATTCGAAAAAACTACACAATCAGCTGCCATTTGAAATCAAATACATAACATCATTTTCTTCATTTCGCAAAGCATTAAAATCTTATTTACTAGACAAGGCTTTCTACGCCGTAAATGACTTATATTTTGATAATCGAATTTGATCTTGTAAACATTGGTCTAATGTTTGCTATTACTATATTTACATCGAAATAAATTTGTTTAGAGGTCATTGGTATAAACTAACTAAATATTTTTGAATATTAATTTTATTTTTTTTATTCTTTGACATTGTAAACATTTATAAATGTTTATTTTAAACAATAAGACTGACAATGTTATTTGTATAATGTTTTGTATTCTCTTTTATTTGTTTGTTTGTTTATTTTGTTTGTTTACTTTGTTTGTTTACTTTACCTTTGTCTACAAATTGTAAATTTTTTTTACAATAAAGGTATTTATTTATTTATTTATTTTCTATAAAATTATAGTATTATTCACCATTTGACAAATTTTGAAATCCTGGACAATAAGCGCAAAAGTTTTACAATTTCGTAAATCAACCAGACTTGCTTTTCATTATAGTTTATAATAGTATCAAATGATACGTTAAATTTCAAGCATGGGAATATAAGGGTTACTGATTCTAACAATCTGTCAAATTTTGGCATCCGCAAATTTTCAGCCAAACTGACTATCATCTACGGAAATGTGGGATGTGCCAGACTGATATTTCCATTAATAAAATGACACATTTTAATAAATGTCAAATATTTATAACTGGGAAAATAAGTGGACTTTTTATTTTTTTATCTAGCACCCATCCGAAAATTTTAGCCAGACACAAATTGTTATTTAATTTCACCATGCGAACAAATTATTATATATTCACCCACTGGGAAAACAAGTACAAAAAAAATCACTGCCCCCTGGAAGTCCCACGTCAAGTTTTTTTTGTCCGTTAGGCAAATTTGTATTATTAGTAAAATACACCACTGACAAAGATTAACGCAGCGGTGTTTAAAAATAATATATCTATTTTATTTTGTAGATTTTCTTACAGAGCAAGTGCCGAATACCATTTTTTGAGACTTTTTTGGAGAGATACAAATTCTAAATAGTTGCAATATCAGATTCAAAAACTTAATATAAATTATAACAGGGATATTGAGAGTTTATAGTCAGAATGGATCTAGGATTTATGAATAAATGTTTCCTGTATTAAGTTAGGCAGTTAGCACAGTTTTATTTTTAGGTTTTATCAGATGAATCTTTTTACTTTATCTTTAAACTTGATTTAACTTTGTTGCCAGGTTATAACTCGTTTCTTAGTACATCTAACAAGCTTTTAAATAAACAATAATTTACATAATGCATGATCACAGAAATCTTGTTTTTAATTTCCGTGGCTATTATACCTATCAACTATTTTTTCCATTAGACCTTTGATTAGACTAAATTTTTATGTTCAGTAATTTAATAAATCGTATTCTGTCACTATGGAAAAGGCATATGAGATGAACCATAGCCTTATTTATTACGAATAGAAAATATATATAAATTTAGATACCGACCTGACGCTAACTTAATTTTCTTTAATCGAATCCATGTCAATGTCTAGCAAATATTTCGTCTGAAATTGTGAAAGTTACACTTATATAATAACACATAAGTCAACAACCTCGCGTCTGTACCAATATAAATATTGTGAACAGATATAATACAGGTAATACTTAAAATGTTATATGATATATATTTTTTTCTATATTAATTAAAAAAAAATAGTCGAAGCATTTGTGAAACTTCTTCATAATCGTTTTTAACCATATGTAGTTGTATGTAAAAATTCACAAAAATCTCTCCAACGATTAACATACCACAAAAGTAGCTCACCTCTATAACATTTTTATTTTTTTTTTATGAAAAATCGTGATTTGGTATATTAATATATGACATAAATTAGGATTGATTGACGTATTGAGTTGTTTTCTGTCACTTCTTGTTTCACCAGAAATGACTACAACTTTTGATTTTTAAATGGTACCCTCGGTCAACCTCGATGTTTTGTTGCTTTATTCGATAGAAAATAAGACTCTGAATAGAATGACATATCATATGTCATCTTTTGACATTTTCGAATATGGTTTATTTGAAATTGTAAGATGCGGTTCATAACGATTTTAATGTTGATGATAATTTGACTCGAAATACCAAGTGTGTGGTACCAAATTATTCGTAAAAAAGTGTTTTTTCCAAATATTCTAATGAGCCACCCTTGTTCCATCTGAACGAATTGAGATATGATTAAAAATAGGATTTGGGCATCTTTTAACCGGCCAGGACAAGACACGAAATACATCAAATCTATTTTTCCAAGGCTTCTTGATTAAAAATTAATGTTTTTAACACAGTCTAGATTGAAATTTACAATACGATTCTTCAAGCGAAAATGTCAAATTGAACATATTTATGATAGGTATGTCATTTTCTATCAAATAAAGTAAAAATATACCGAGGGTGCCATTTAAAAATCAACAGTTGTAGACGTTTCTGCTAAAACAAGAAGCGATTAAAAACAATTGAATACGTCAATCAAACCTAATTTATGTCATATATTAATATACCATATCTCGTTTTTTTATCTGAAAAAATAAAAAAGTTATAGAGGTGAGCCAGTTTCGAGACAACAAGCCTTAAGAGTAGGTAGGTAGCTCAAAAATATAAGTATTTTTTTAATATCATGTATTTATTATCATGTTGTATATCCCGATAATAAAAAAATACATGATTATTGCCATGTAATTTGGTTATAGAGTAATACAATTTTTTTAATTAATTTAATTAAATATCTAGACATATTTTATTTATTTCTACTAAGAACTATGTCGATTCTCAATCTATTAACTTTAGATATATCCGAAAGAGTTAGTTTTTTTTTATTAAGCTTAGTATAGTGAATCCTTAGCAAAATTTATACGGGGTGTTTTACAAAAATGGTTCACCCCTATAACTTTTTTATTTTTTCACATAAAAAAACGAGATTAGGTATGTTAGTATCGGGCATAAAAATCGAGATTGATCGACTTATTCAATTAGTTTTGTTGACTACCTGTTAAATGTACCACAACTTTTGATTTTCAAATGGTACCCTCGGTATATTTTACTTTATTTCATAGAAAATAATCTCAATACAATGACATATATTATATGTAAACTTTTAACAATTTCAATTAAAAAAATTGCATTTTGAGTTTTAATCTAGAGTGCCATGGCCATAAATGTAACCAAAAAAATGGAAATACCAAGTATGTGGTATCAAATTATTCCTAAAGAAATACTTTATTCAAATATGCTAATGATTCACCCTCGTTCCATTTGAAAAAATTGAACTGAGATACGATTAGGTTGTTGGTTGCATCTTTTAACTGATCAGGAAAAGGCACCAAAAACATTAGACGATCAAATGTATTTTTCCAAAGCTCCTTGATTAAACAAACATGGTTTTAAAATAGCCATTACCCTCTAGATTGAAATTTAAAATGCTATTTTTCTAATTGAAAATATAAAAAGTTGACATACGATATGTCATTCAATTCAGAATGCCATTTTCTCCCAAATGATGTAAAAAACTACCATTTATTTTGACTACAAGTTTTGAATTAAAAATCAAAACTTGTAGTCATTTCCGGTGAAACAGGAAGCGACCGAAATTAATTGAATAAGTGGAACAATCTCGAATTATGTAATATACTAACATACCAAATTTTGTTCTTTTATCTAAAAGAAATAAAAAAGTTGTGGGGATGAACCCGAGGGTGAACCACTTTTGAAAATCACCCAGTATATTATATTAACTAAATACAATACAGATTGACAGAGATAACTCCAGAAACCACAAATGTAACATTATTTAATAAAAAAAATCTTATTGTGAGTGATTGTCAATGTCAAAATTAATCCCATCATTTTAGAGAAAAACCTGAACAAGCAAACAAATAGAGTATAAACAAAGGTGCTTATTTTTTAAAGGTCCTTATTGGAAATTTCAGATTTATAATTTGTGTCTTAGGGAAACGTATAGGATATAAAGCACTAAAAAAATTAAAAAATAATATTTCATCAAGGTTTTTCTTAAATAAATTATTTTTAATAGTCAAATAACTTAGCACATATTATGAACAATCCAATCATTCAAAAATACTATACTTAATATACTAGTATATCTCCGGATTGTTTTTACAAGAGGAAATGCTTTTTTACTATCAACTTTTTGAGGAAAAGGCATTCTTTATCAAAATTTTTTGCGATTTTAAAATGGTTATCGCGTTTATGCTTTTTCAGATAATATAATAATAATTTTTTAGTTTCAGAGAAAAATACAAAAATGTGAAAATATAGCTGAATTTTTTCAAAAATCAAAAGGTGTTTCTAAAATTCTACTATATTTTCATATATTTTTTTTAATTTTTCTATAAGACGGTATAAAAATTTCCAAAAGTATAAACGGGATTAACCATTTTAAAATGAGCAAAATCTTTTATGAAGAATGCATTTTTCTCAAAAAGTTTATAAAAAATGGGGTTTCTTCTTTTAAAGACAATCCTGGGATATATTGTATACATATTTTTCAAATGCAGCTATAAATTAAGCAAAAGACATATTTCTTACTGACTTAAACATTTTTAAATGACTCCTTAAGGTACATGTTAATATTATAAAAAATCTAGAGTACTTACGGACTTTTCCCGAAACAAATACGACATATAATAGGAAAAAAATTACGCTCCTCATTTTCGTAATATACAAACACAAAATGCCGAATTATTGCTTCATGTAAACATATAATACTGCAGCAGATATCCCACCACTTCTCGGCGTGTCTTAAATGCAAACTTATATTAGCAATAATCTTCGAAGTAAAGTACGTAATTCCAATTGCAGTGTATATACCTGATGGTTTAGCGTATGAAATATTCGATGTTGACCAATCAACTTTAAACTTTTAAGTGTGTTAGCCAACCAAAGTGATGTAATGGTTATTTCTTGTATTCCTTAGTTCGGTATACCTAGATAGAATAATTTCTTTTCTATAATACATTCTTAACGTAAATTTGGCTTCAATAAAGTAGAAGATGAGAGAAATGCTATAAGGGTATTTAATTTTAAGATTTAATAATTGTCAAATACAAATATGTTTTTATAGATATCTTACATCCTAAGAGCCAGAGATTCCAGAGCTGCAACAAGTCATTTTTAAAAAGACTTAAAGTCTTAAGTCATTTCTAAAATCAAAATGATTTAAATCTTAAGTTAATTCCAATATAAAGTTTAAGTGAGTAAGTCTTAAGTCTTTGACTTAAATCATTTTATTTCATAATTGAAATTTCATTTTAAGTCTTTAAAAAATGTCAAGTTATTTTTGTAAAGATTTAAATCAATTAACGGTATTTAGGACTTAAGTCTATATTTCTGACTTAAAGTATCTGCCAGTTAAGTCAGTAAAATTACTTAAATCAATATAATTATCCATAAGTCAGGAAAACCAGAATTCAATTTAAGTACCTATTTTGAAAGGTTTTTTTTTCCTAGGCATCGATCACCAGGATCATTACCCATGTACAACTCGTTATTGATAGCAATGCAATTACAGGGATCTATATTAATACCCTCAAGGAATCACTCTTGCAAGGCCAATTCAAAATTTAAAATCTATATTGACATAAACATTTCAAGTGAGTGACAAAAAGATCAAAAACAAACACAAAAAAGTAGAGTAACAAAAACAAACAACAAGAAAAATAGGTAATTATGTACATCAGAGTATCACAGTTGGATTAGTGTATAACAGGCGAGTATCACAACTGGTGGTATATACACACAACCCCAAACTTATATGAAATCATCTATTATTTTTCATAATTTTTGAGACTTTTGAAAATTTTGTGTTTATTAATAAAATTCAGTCCTTACCAATGACTTTTAATGAAAAATAATCCATATAGCAATAAAAAATTACCAGTTTCCAAAATAAACAACATGGTAATTTTTTGTTTTCTAAAACGAAATTAAGATTTAAATTTTTAATGACCAAAAAGTAAAAACAAAAAGAAAATTGATAATTTTAATATTCCTTGTTGCCACCTCTAGCCCTTATCCGCGCTGGCACGCTTCTTATTAAATTATCAATGTTGTCTTGGGGTATGTTTTCCCATTATGCTAATGCTGCATCAATAAGCTATGCGAGATTTCCTGGATTGTTTCGACGAGCTCTAACCCATCTTTTGAGCTAGTCCCACAAGTGTTCGATAGGGTTAAGATCTGGTAAACATGCAGACCAGTCCATAACTATGACACCTTCCGTTTCAAGACATTCTCTAGTCACTCTGCTGGTATGGAGAGGTGCACTATCGTGTATGAAGTTATAGTTATCCCCAATTGCAGCTCTCCAAAGACTAACGATTATTTCTAGCACCAAATCAACATATCTCCGACCCGTTAAAGTTTGTTGAAGTGGTAACAATGGAGTTTTTGCTCCCAGTATAATACCTCCCCAGAACATTACAATGCCTCTTCTATATCTTGGTACATATTGGGCAGCCTGAAGTCTCGCTCGTCTTCCTGGAGCTCTGAGAACCCGAATTCGATGGTTATCTGATCTTAGGCCAATTCTGGTCTCATCCGAAAAAAGAACATTTTGTCAATTCTCAGTGGTCCAGTTTTGATGTTGAAGGCATCAATTTAGCCGGTCAATTTTATTTTGCCGATATAACTGTGGGATCCTTAACTTTCTCCTAATGTAAAATCTTCAAGCACGAAGCCTTTTTTTATGGGTCCAACTGAAACGTTCACACCTGTAGCTGCCAGAAGTTGTCTTTGTAGCTTTGGATGAGAAACATTGGGATTTATTCTACCAATTTGGCACACAAGGCGGTCTTGTTGTTCAGTTGTAACTCTTTGACGACTTTGTCTGGGCCTATCCTTGTGTGTGCCTAATCCCAAGTGCCTTGCATATGATTTCGATACAACACCCTGGGTAACGCCTACTATCTCTGCTACGTCTCTTTAGAGCATTCCTTGTTCGGTGAGAGCAATAATTTTTCCCCTCTATACATCTGTTAATTCAACATAAGGCATTTTTTTTATTTCTTTGGATCGAATGAAAATTACCGGACAATCGTGATTTTACTACCGAACATAAAATTCAAAAGAAAACGAATCGCGGCAGTCGTTTATTCTTTATTATCATGTTTATTTACAACAAAAAGCCTTATCTTAAAGTTGTATACCAATTTTTATCCTTGCAAGAAATCTAGTCAGAAATAGAGTAATTCGATAAGTTTGGTTGTGTGTATTAATATCTTTCATAAAGTTCAAAATATTTTTAATTGTTTCTTCTTCTGCTAATTTTTTACGAATTTCGCCACATATATCGCGAATCTACTTCTTTCTACCGTATATTGAGGACATTTACATGTAATGTGAGTTGATCAATCACTGCAGTATGCCCAATACGAAGACGATGCACTCTGGATTCATCCGCTCGTCATAGTGCAAGGCGTAAGGATAGGGTTGACGGATCCTGTTTTATTGCGCGAAGTTTTGAAGGTTTACCTACCCACTCGTCCTGCCATTCCCTTTCTGTACTATTTTATAGTACTTAGTACTTTGAAATCATATTTACTAATATAAGAGAAATCAATGCTATCTCTTCTAGCAGCTTGCTGAGCAGCTTCATCTGCCATTGTGTTACCAAGTATATTAGTGTCGCTTTGAATACAAACGTCTCGAATAAGCGTCTGAATTTTTTGTTTTAGAGTACTAAATCAAGAAAAATGGTTTACCATTATTCTAAAAATAAACAAAATATATTATTTTCATTTGCCCTTTCGAGGGCTGTAACTTCTTCGAGAAGCATTTAAGAGCATATATATGTTCATAGAAACTTTTTGTTTTATTTTTATCTGTAGAATCAACCGCCGAAGTTAGATATACTATTTTTTGACACCCTGTATAAAAGAATAAAATAATTGACTTGGAAAAATCATAATCCGAGAATGAATGTTGAATGTGTCAAATTTTATATTAACAAGAATCTCCTTTTAAATAGTCTTTACTTTTGTTGTTTAATTCTAACCTTAGTAGCCGGTACTAAATGTATATTTTAGGAATACAATATTAAATTCAAACGAGGGTTACCAGATATTCGGATTAATCCGACCATGTCCGGATTTTTATTATATCCGGGTGGGTCTGTTCAGATTTTTCATAAACGACCGGATTTTAATATTCCACTAAGAAATGTCGTCGTGATGCAAAATAATAAACTAGCTTTAAAAAACCTACCTGATTATTTAAAAAATCGTAGATAAATTCAGCAGTGTAAATTCATTGTTTTACTTTGCAAGTTTTAGGTTTTTACAGTTTAAATATAAATGTTCATTTTTGCTCTTGTTTTATTGAAATGTAATCATCAATAAGTATGTAATGTAAAAAATGCTACTTTGCTAAAAAATGTCGACGTCCGGATTTTTTGGAAGGTTTGTTCTGGGTGGACACGTTTTTATCTGGTAACGCTAGTTTAACCAATATTTCTTTAAACAATTATATAAGCCAAATGAAAAGAAAATTAAATCAGTAAAGAAATACATAATAACCGACCAAAAAAAAATTGACATTTTAAATAATACGCTCTACCGAAATTTACAGATAAAATCAATAAACTTTGACTCGACTATAATTGACTGCAGTATATTAACAGTTTGTTAATGTAGTTTGTTAGGTGTAATGTCATTAGAACAAAACAATAAATATGTCTGAGTAAATAGTTAAATAAGTACCATAAAATTAAATCTTTAGTAAACAAACAAGCAAAGTATGCGGAAAGAATAAATGTATAAAAAATACAGTAATAGATCCTAATACAAATAAATTCTAATGGTTTTAGGGATATAATAATATTTACCATAAATAAGTTATAGAATTTCATACAGAATTGAACACTATACCGGGTGTTTCTCAAAACTGATTACCCCTATAACTTATTTATTTTCTCAGATAAATAAACGATATTTGAGACTTGGTATTCGACATTAATCAGTATTGATTGACGTATTCAATTATTGTTTTCGGTCACTTTCTGTTTTACCAGAAATACACTACAACAACTTTTGATTTTTAAGTAGCACCCTCGGTATTTTTAAACGGTTTTATTTAGCTCGACCCGTACGGTATTTATTTATTTGTTTGTTTATTTGAGTCAAAATTAGAAATTGAAATTTAAGTACCTTCCTGTTGTCAGATTGATCTGAAATTTGGTACACACCTTTAGTTCCGATGACAATACAATATAGTAATATCAATAACATTGTAAATCTAAGATGGCCGCCGGTACAAAATAGCGGATTTCATATTTTTCCACAACCCCCTCAATATGGGTATCAAATGAAAGGGCTACACTAGTAGAATACTGTGATTATGACAAAATTTAAAATCCAAGATGGACGTCGTTACAAAATGGCGTATTAGGTGAGGGCATGAGTAGTCGTGTCCAGAACAGTTGTGTCCAAGATTGTGTGACGTTAGAAGTACAGATAAAAAAAAATAGGTGATTAGATGTACCTACGTAGTTAGCGGTAGCTTTACCACCCAAGTTAAGGTAATAGGTTAAAACGTGCTGAGGACTGTATGGCATTAGGGTGGCTAAAAATGTAATGTCGCAAGCGTTTTCCCCTCAAGATTGGGCGCCTCTTGTTGTATATTATAGCCTTGCCCCTCTACTGGACCTCTGGGGGGAGGGGTCGACCGTTAAAATGTCCATTACTCGTGGGAACAACATGGAAACAATAAATAAAAAAACAAAAAAAATAATAAAAAATCGGTAAAAAAACTTTTAAGTTAAACGGTTTTATCT